AAACACCACAAAAGACACACCAAAAAACAAATCTTTATTTGAATCGGCCACCCATTTGCTTGGATGCGAGAGAATTTAATTTCGGAATGATCTCAACTTTCAGACAGATCGACAGACAGACAGACAGATTTATTACAGTATAAGGCCTCTGGCCCAAAATACAGTGTTGCAATCGATTGATAATGTACATTGCATGTATAAATTTAGTTTTAAAGTTCATGAGGTTACGACGTGCGTTGAACACTTTGTACAGGAACATAGTTGTTGCCCAATCGCAGAGCTCAAGATATTTTCTTTTCGGTGATGAAGTGATTTTGTCCTAGTTAATCATTAAAGTAATCAAAAATTAGATACAAGTTAACGTGCAAAATCAAGATTCAATTTTAATTTCACTTTTAGAAAAATATTTATCAACGCAATAGGGTCATATCATTAATATACTGTGAATGAGTATTTAACAACTGCTCTCTCGATATATTATTTGATATTCGTATTTCCCTGTCATGAATTCTTTACAACACTTCTGTAGCATAGGCCTTTCACACAAGCTGATAATTTACCATACATGTCACAAAGTATCTTGAGGATCTTACCATCTATACCCATAGATTGCAGTTGATTTAGTAAGACATCGTGATGAACGCAATCAAAGGCCTTCGAAAAAATCGACAAATAAACAATAAAACCTTCCATTCCTTTTGATGTATACTTTTGAGTGATTGACTGTAAAACAAACATCTGGTCCACCGTGGAATATCCTGGTAGAAAACCAGCCTGAGTTTCGTGGATCGCTTTATTGTCGTCACACCAGATTTTGAGTCGTGAGTTCAGTATGGAGGTGAACACCTTACACACGGAGTTGATGAGTGAGATGCCTCGGTAATTTCCCGGGTTGTGTCTATCATCTGCTTTTTGAAGCGGACATATATTGCTTTGTCCCCACTGAGAAGGGAATATTCCTGTATCAAAGAGTTTATTAAACAATATTGTTAATAGAAGGGTTACATAATGTTTAGTTGATTGTAGAAATTCACAGACTATCCCATCTTCGCCAGGAGAGTTGTTTCTCTTCAGCTTACTTAAACTATCAAAAGCTTCTTGTTCTGTAAATGGTTTGTTTACATTTTCTAATAAAGGGAGATCGTCGGTGCTTACAGACTCGTTGACAGTAGCGATAGATATACTTTCATAATCAGGCGAGTAGTCAAAGTTTGAAAGAGCACTGAAATGAACGATCCATAGGTTTGCTGAAATATGGTTACTGTTAGAAGATGTTTTCCTCGATCCTTTCATAGTTTTCAAGAAGAGTTTCGGACTGTTTCTACATTCTATGAGTTGGCGTTGTTTATAATTGAAATACTGATGTTTCTTTTCATTAAATGACTTTTTAAAGGGAGAGCGTAAAGTTCTGAATCCAGATATGTCTTTTCCAAAATCCCTATGTTTTCTAAGAGCTCTGTATTTGTCTTTCTTAATCTTCTCAAGATCCGAGTCCCACCATGGTGGCTAAGTCGGTATACCAGTGCTTTCCATCATGACGGATGCAATAATGTAATTGATTGATTGAGCCATTTTGATGTAATTATTTTGCTTATTGCAGACAACTGATTACGAATAATGGACTTTCAGCCATCAGCTAATTAGACTGACTGGCTGGCTGAGTATGGTTTTTCGCCGTTTTTAGCAATATTTCAGCAATATCACGGCGGGGGACACCATAAATGGGCTTAACAAGTTGTACCCATGTGGGGAATCGAACCCGGGTCTTCGGCGTGACGAGCGAACGCTTTAACCACTAGGCTACCCAACCGCCCTCAGCTAATTAGAATCTGCACTAGTAGAATGTGTGAAATAAAGCTTTCTAACATAGTTGGTTGATTTAACAGTAATTTGATTTAGCATTGTTGCAGTTGTGTCCCATGTGTGGTCTTTCAACCAGAGCTGACTTAATTATTTTCCGAACCGTTGCCGATTATAGACAGATCCAGATAACCAAGATATACAAAACACAGCTACCGTATTTAACCAGGATAAATTCTGATGTCATGTCAACACAAACCCTTACCCCCCCCCCCTATGGAGAGCATCAATCGGTCCACCTTTCACACTCTTTCTCTGCGAAGGAGAACTGGCCACGTCGAATGGTTAAATCGTACGCTTGTCACGCCGGAGATACTGGCTAAATTCCCTACATATGTTAAGACAGTTTCTGATGTTTCATGTCACGCAAGTCTGTGTGAACAAATATCTTCTCCATAATGAATGTGTGGGAGAAGAAGCTGTAATTGTGATATAGGCATTAAAAGAGGGTGGTAAAACAGACAAATATAACTTGACGTACATAAGGTATTTGACTGGTATTTTACACAAGCTCTAAAATGCAGACACACCTCCAACGAAAGTTAAAAACTCCTTTTGATACAACACTAACAATGTGTTGAAAGTACATCCCAAATAACACTAGGACATTTCTATGGGACAGCTCCTATGTCCAACATAAAATGTCCCTTTTTTGACCCTGTACAACCTCATAACCTCATAACTATTCTTTCAGTTCAACTGTAGCTATTCAGGCGAGGTTATGTACAATTGTTCATCCTCTCATGTTAAAAAGGTTACCTTATACACAACAAAACTGCTTTTGATTGTCTCACGATTGCCTAATACATAATTTAATTTAAAAACATGCAATATTTTTAAATATTAAATATAAATGCCACCAAGAAGCAACAATGGGAGGAGGAAAGTATATATATTTAGAAAGGTGCTCCTTGCCGTATGTTACAAAACATGTGCAAAAAAATTTAAAAACCCCAAACGATCCGTTCTTCAATACTGCATAACCTGATGCAATTTAAGCGTACATGTAACTCTATATTGTGAGTTGTATTCTATATTTCAGATTAACCGGGTGTTAAACATCTGCCTCATCAAGCTGACAAGACGTGAATTAACTGGAATGTTGTTTAAAGCGGCATTAAATCCATCTGACTCAACACCCTCTAAAACTACAAGCTTTTAATGTTATACTTTGGATGTGATATCTTAGTAAAAAACAAATACAAGTACAAATTTTGTTGTCCGATGGTGTCGTGAGATGGTGCAGCGTGATTTGCACAAATTTGGCTCGTACTTTGTCAGTGATTCTTCATGATTTCTTCGCAAAATGTGTCACGTGCTGCATAATTTCGTATTGTGCTCCATTTCAATTTATGAACTTTTAAACCTTTGTTGCCATCGAAATATGTTGATAATATAGGTGAGCACAGATACATTCCATTGTCAGTATGGTCAATATGGCCTCCATATCACAATGTTGAACACATTTGCTGATAACAAATGGTTTTCTTAGTAAGCCCACCGCAGATGTTGAGTAATTACATTTATGTGCACAGAGCTGTCACATTATCTACCTGCTGAAAAGTAATGGTAATTCTTTGTTGGGCGCATACTATCACATTAGGTTTTAAACGCAATCATTCGAAAGCTTTCAGGTACTCACAAAATACATTTTAACCTTAAAATGATGCCTAAGCTTTCAGTTACTCACAAAATAAATTATAACCTTAAAAGATGCCTAAGCTTTCAGTTACTCACAAAACACATTTTAACCTTAAAGGACGTCTATGGATTACCACGGCTTGCTGACTGTCTGGCGTCATGACAATCAAGGCCGTACTGTTCAGACAGTTCTTCACAAGAGACAGCAGGGCCACTGAAGTGGTTTTGATCCTGAGTCATAAAAAGAACATGATAATCTGCCATTTTCTTTGTCAATCACTCACAGAGCAGGTCAAAGCAGACAAAACATAGATCTGTGAATATAACTTTTTAGGCGAACGGCTTTTCATCTGTAGGATTAATCCCGTGATTTTTTTCTTCTGTCCCAGTAGGATATACAAGAGTAACAGCAAAGCAGGTTTCGATGACACGACCATCCAAGTGCATTCACTTCCTTGTCCTTGTCTGTAACTATAGGTTTAGAATTAAGAGGCAGAACACTCGCTGATCTTTGCATGGTAAGTTTGTTCAGTGTACTCAACATAGGTATTTGCAATGTCCTCGTCACTGACCGAAGATTTGCTGTTTTTCACAATCAAGCAACTAAGTCAATTCCAAACCTTTTCCGAATATTGGGCGCATCACGTCTTCGTCAAACACAAAGATAGACGCAAAACACCCAGAGGAGAGAAATGCTTGTGCGGTTCATGCATGCCAGCGTTTAAAGTCTATATTTTTATGCTCGTCTGAAGGTAGCATGGATGGAAGAACATTTGCAACAATGACATAATGAAACATACCTTCGCTTAAACATATCGCTTTTAAATTTGGAAAGAAAAGAGTGTTGCAGAAAGTAGGTCATTGTTTAAATAGGTTTGTTCAGACCACTCGACCGTCCGTGTTTAACTGTTGACATGCTGATCATGACGTAATTCCCTGGTGAATAAGTGATATCATTATTTGAAAGGAATGTCAAGTCATGACAGCTCAGCCCGCAGTATTGTATTGTACGGGTCACTCCCAAAGGTGGTTATCTCCCGAAACTCAGACAATGGCGACCCGATGTAAAGGTTAATTCACACTCCAATTAATCTCAATCGAGCACTCAAGACAACCCACAATGTTATGCGTTACCAGCGTCGTGACAAAAGTATTCGCGATTTGGCAAATATGGCCGTTCGGCTTTGATTGAAACGTCTCGTATTTTTTGTCTCTTGCTTCGCAAATACTGAACAGATTTTCATGCTTGATACGTCGCTTGTGAGCTTGATATACGATTTGTGCGCATGTACAATGACGTCATATGTCGTCTGCTTGGAATGCAGAAATCGTCTGCAGTAAACAATTGGCCGAAAATCAAAGGAACTCAAAATCAGTACGAAAGAACTAATTGTGGATTTGAAACGGAATGGAAAGAACACTTCTGACATTGTGAAATTATTAGGTGTACCTGAATCAACAATTCGGTATGTTTGGAAAAAAATATTTGAATCGTGATAATGTTGAAAACATCCGACGAAGTGGTAGGCCGAAAATAGTGAGTATTCGTAGTGAACATGTTTTGTTGAGGAGTGTGCACAAGAATAGATTTAACATTCTAAGAGACATTACCCATGATTATAATGTTGGTCAACATCAACAAGTAACAGTAGAACAATTCAAAGAGTTTTGCATCGGAATGGTGTTTTTCGTCGGGTTATTAGAAAGCGCTTTGTTGTGAAGGAAGTGAACAGAAGGAAACGACTTCACTGGTGTTTGGAATGGGAATTTGGACAGTACAATATCAGTGGAAACAGGTGATATTCAGTGATGAATCGCAGGTAGTTATTGGTCAGAATGGAAGAGTTTTCGTTTGGAGAAGTGCGCATGAAGCCTATCGTCCCGAATGCATGATTCACTCGAAACAGGCCAGGTTATCAGTTGTGATCTGGGGTTCTTTAACTTGGTACGGTGTTGGCACCTTGTGTCGTGTTGATGGTAATATTAATGCTGTCAAGTATCGTGAAATACTTGAAGACAACCTCTGGCCCGTTATAGCTCGGCACTTCAACAACAAACCATATCGGTTTCAAGATGACAATGCTCCAGTGCATCGGGCACGAATTATTCAGGAATACAAACGTGACAATGCTGTAAATTGCATGACTTGGCCTGCACAGTCTCCCCGGTCTCAATATTATTGAAAATGTATGGCTACACATCAAAAGAACACTACAGCGACGATCACAAACTGTCCTGACCACTGACGCACTGTATGACGCCACCCACGATGTATGGACAAATATCACTCTACACTATGTTAGAAACTTATATGAATCAATTCCACGACGGATTATGGCCTGCATACGCTCCAAGGGGAACTTGACCAAGTACTAAGGTATGACATAATTTTTTTTGAAATATCGCTGTTTAAATTTTCATACGGTCTTGTGTTTACTTCCGCCATTTCGAAAAGTCGCGAATACTTTTTGTCATCACGCTGTACATTAAGTACTGACTGACCATGTGGAACTGGATGTTTCATTTCGGACATTTTTTGACATGAGGTTTAAAGGGGCATCATGAAATGATATGTTACAACTATTTGGGTGGGGTGGGCGGATGAGATTGGCATAAAAGGGATGAAAAGTTCTACTTTTCAGACATAAATGTTATAAATGTGAACGTTCTCGAGGGCGTAGTAAATAAAAAACCCTACATATCTTGCCATTGGGCAATTCATGATGTTTAAGGACACCAAATACTTTGAAATGCCTGACACACTGGAATGCCTTAATGACACAGCCTTTCAGATGACACAAGCGATAATGCTTACGTGCACTGACCAAGGTCGCTGTTATATGCCGTGTGTAATAACTCAGCAATATTCCAGCTGTATGGCGGCGGTCTGTAAATAATCGAGTCTGGACCAGACAATTCAGTGGTCAACAACATCAGCATCGATCTACGCAGTTGGGATACAATGACATGTGTCCCCCCCAAGTCAGCGTGCATGGGTTGATGAAGACCATTTCTAACCCGGATCTTCACGGGTTTCATGCTAGTGACTCATGTTACCTTCTGAACGTGCAGGCATAATTTTGGTGAATATGGCCCTATAAAATCGTGTCAAATAATAACTGTACTGTATGCGGAGTGCATGTCCTGAGTCACTGTGCTCAGTAAGGTACCATCAAAATGTTTGTTTGGCTTTTCATGTGCACTTCATGCTTTCAAGAACTTGCCGGCTCATACAATTCACTTGAACATTTAACACGTGCATCTGTTCGGAAACTGTCAATGAAGACGTTTGAAGATCTTAACGTATGTGTACAAATGAATTGAGAATAAAAACATAATTACCCCAAAATGTCTAACTTGAATATTATAAATTTTATTATAGTTATATTACATGTAACTTTAACGATATGTGCATGACAGCCTTTTCACGAACAATGACATTATCGTCCGCTCGTATCTACTGATGTGCGTACTCACGGGGTCCAATGAAATCGCGTTGTTCTGTATTCATACTCACACCTGTGTGACATTGCAGTTAACTTGATGAAAATGGTATGATGTGCTGGCTTACCGTTTACTGATCAATATCCCCGCGACACTGTTTCACGCAGGATGGCAGCTAAAACAATGAAAGAAACAGCATGTGAGGAAATAGACAGATATGAGGCTGACCTTAACGAAATCAGTCAGGCTATATAGAAAACTCCTGAACTATATTATGAGCAGGTAAGTGCGCATCAAGTACTGACAGATTTTCTTGAGAAGCATGGATTTGAGGTTGAGAGGAAGTACAAGCTTGATACAGCCTTCAGGGCAGTGTTTGGTCAAGATGGAACAGGTCCTCACGTGGCCATACTGTGTGAATATGATGCCCTGCCGGAGATTGGACACGCCTGTGGCCACAACCTGATAGCTGAAGTGGGCGTAGCAGCGGGTCTTGGTGTGAAGGAGGCGCTACAGGCAACAGGGACGGGAGGAAAGGTCAGTGTTATATCATGTGTCAAAAGTTGTGAGATGAAGTGTCGTTCAATCTTATTGTATTTGCGTGGAGACCAGTGTTCCTTCTTGACCGGGCTTTGCACCATCCGCGCACGAAATTTTCAAATGGTGCACTGTAGTAGTATGGACGGGTCGTGTTAGCACATTCCTAAACATAAATCTGAAAAGCATTACGAGCTTGTTTCCGCGTAGCAACTCATGCAAAACTCTAAACTAATTATGTATTTCTTAAACATATAGAACTATCATCCAACGATGAAGCGAGTGTTATTGTAAGCGCTCGGAACTCAACAAATCACCTGCAGCCTGTGTTGCGAATGAGCAATGCGAAGCGTACAAAGGCGTGTAATGAGAAAAACTGAAGCGCTTTGTAAAACTGATTGCGATTAGTTTATTTCTTTTAGCGAACCAATCACGTTGCATGTTGCAGTTTCGCACTTTTGTTGCTTAGTGACACCTACTGTCAAAAAGTCTATGTGAATCAAATATTTTGTTGTTGTTCGCGAAGAAGCAATTTTACCAGTATCCTCGTGTTAGGGGTTGTAAAACACGTTACTAGTTTATTAAAGACAACGTTAATACTTGCCATCATCTGAGTATTTACAATGCTGACATCCCGCCTCCCGTTATAGCAAGAGTAAACACTGCCGTCCGTAATCGATGACGTCCGAAAATATAATCCGATGATTGAAGAAAGGTATTAGTTCATGCTAAACTGATCAGACGAACACTGCTCATTATTGAAGTTTAGTCTAAAAACATCAGCTTCAAATCAGCTTGACTTGATGTTATTCTTTAATAAATGTGCTGAGCAGATCTTGATTTGGTCTTAAATGTTCAAATTGTTGACCGTACCTGTATTGGAAGTTAACAAATGTGGGTGGTAAACTCATGCTTGTAACTACTAAGTACTGTATGACTGACAAATAACAGCTGTTTGACATGACACACAATATATTGTAAATGTTCCACGTTACTGAAGACAGATGGACCACGGAACCATTTTTGAGAACGACCAGAATGAACGCAGCTGGAGACGAACACAAATACACTTTCATCTACACGTGAATGCGTGTACATGCCGTGGTTTGGGAGATTTTATGGGTGTGGTTTACCATTGGTACTCCACTCACACACAGTTTACTTATTTCGACCAAACCCGGCCTTTTTCAACCCGTTAATACCGTGGAGCCAAAGGGGAAAAGAGCAAGTGCAATATGTCTTTTGGATTGCTTGTCTGAAAACTGAACCAATATTAAAAGCGGATAGTTTAAGTGGAATGCGTTTGTTTCGACGAATATTTATTTCAAAATGTTCTATTTAAGTTAACTGTACTGAGGTACTCAAGCGGAAGAGAAGGGTGGTGGTAAAATTGATCTCATCAACGCTAACGTCTTCAAGGATGTTGATGCTGCGATGATGGCGCATCCAGCGCCATATGTAACCGCATTTCCTGTCTTCCTGTCCGCAGTAAAGTAAGATACACACCTTGTTTGAGTGGCATTTTAGAAGTTGAGACGTACAATACAGAACAATTTTTTAATGGATAACAGCTTCTATATTTCGTGAGTGCGACGTTTCGATACAGATTTTTGTACCGTTGTCAAGCAACTATACTGACTGACTGACTGAGTTTAGTTTTACGACGCTTTAAGCAATATTCCAGCAATATCACCTGCGGGGACACCAGAAATGGGCTTCACACATTTTGCCCACGTGGGGAATCGAACCCGGGTCTGCGGCGTGACGAGCGAACGCTTTAACCACTAGGCTACCCACCGCCCTGTATCAGCAGAGACCAGAGAACATTCTCAGCATAAACTGGGAATAACAAAGGTTTCAACACGCTGAGTTCCCAAGCTGCCGACTGATTTTCTTGAACGATTTGTCAGCATGTATGAGTCAGCACTATCAGCCAGAGACTAAACATCCATGACATCGGAATGTGGGTTTAAACGCAAACGACATAATCATTATTTATCAGACTCGGGTAGCCATATGCACAACTCTTCTTAGACTGAAAGAAGGAAGTGTCTGACAAAGGTTATGCTAGTGATCTGAAACACAATATTTAAAATTCCACGACTGGCAGTTGTCAATCTTTGATGATCAAATGTTTGTAAATGTCTGACTAAAATCGACACGAGTGACTTCTTTCACATCAAAACACACCAGTTTTCTAGTTGGGCGACTTCATTGTTTCCAGGTTCGCCTGAAGCACAACCATACACGCTGGACATTGGGAAGGCCCTCGCCATGACGGCTGTTGACGTCTACATCACCAAATACCCTGGCAGAGATGAAGGAGGACTTCAGAAGAGATATGAATTCTGCCTAGGTTCGTTTCCATTGCATTGTCAATCTATGTACAATATATACTACAAACTAAGTTGAAACTTTCATTTGACCTTAGTTAATCTGACATTGCTGACGGATATAGCATTCCAGTATATGAGTGTTCTGAGTCGTTGGTTTCAGCTCCCTCCTGTACCTAAAGTGCTTATCGTTTACATTTGCCAAAATGTATTTTTCGCCCTATGAATCCGCATCCATTTTCTTTGATGAGAGAAAATATATTTCAGAATCATCCCAACTTTCAATCCTGACGGATGCGAGCATTCATTGAATGAGTTTGTTCATTTATAAACCTTTGATGTAATTATATTGCTGATTACTTATAACAGATCACGAATCATGGACTTCCAGCCACCAGCTATTTAGAACCATTGGAATGTGTGAAATGCAGCTTTCCTAAACAGTCGGTTGATTAACAGTACATGTAATTAGATTTCGCACTGTTGCAAACGTTTCTCGTGTGATGGCTCTGTAGTTTGAAGCCACAGCTGGCTTTACATTACATTTTCAGTACTTTGCTGGAATATAAACAGATCCGGATAACAATGAAGATACAAATAACAATACAGCTTCAGCATACGCGTGAAGTACGCAAAAAGCATACGTGAATGTACATTGAGTTTAAGAGTTTATATATCCTGGGTATACATCCACATGATAAGAGATGCGGTGAAATCTATAACCTTACCTGAAAGGTTCTCCCGTAAGAATACAAAGAACATTTATATCATGAAAATGCTAACGGCCAGTGTATAAATAAGCCCAAACCCCAGCCAGACATCAGAACTGGTATCTTCAAAATGTTACCAGTCCAAAATGGTTTAAACCAGACCAGACACCAATATATGACTCAGATATATATCACATCTAAATTTTACCAGACCATCGGGCTGACTAGATGTAAAAATCTAGACCGTCCGTCTGAAATCTAACCCGTCTCGGGCCGTCGGACGGGCCTTATTTCATACAGTGCTAACGGCCGTAAATTCTCGCTCCTGAGTAAGAGCCAACAGCTCATTAAAGAAATTGGCACCATACTAACCATCTCGAAAGTGGCTAAATTCCCCACATGGGTGCATTTGTGAAGCTCATTTCTGATATCGCCTGTCATAATAATTGCCCAAAGCGGCGTAGCAACAAATTCTCACTTTCGCCTTCAAGAGAACTGTAATCAGACTTTTCCCCTTTTTACAAAATTATAGTTAAGTATGCAAATAGTTGTTTGTAATCTGTTTTGCTGTCTGCGGACAACTTCACCCATTTAGGTGACAACACAGGTATTGACACAGGTATTCCACCACGCTAAATGGACACTGCCATTGAATCCCATGACTTTATTAGAAACTGCGTCTTGCACCATTGGTCGAGAGAGACCTAAAGTTTGCCGACAGTCCAGTTACATGCACAGACATATATCCTAAATCCAATCCAACACAGCACAGGGGCATGAATATTTCACAATGTGTTTGAAGGGAAGACAAGCGTTTGAAGCTAAATCCTGTGAGCGCAAAGGTTCTCCCTTGACATGAAAGAACATCTTGTAATAAACGTCTGATATCAACGAAATTTGAAAAGTCTTTTTCGGTACCAACTTTCACAATGTGTTGAAAGTAAATCCCATGTCACACGCGCCTATCGGCGAACTTCTTATGTTCTGCTTTAATTCCACCTCATAGCAGCTAGCCACGTAACATACAATTCTGTATGCAGTTTCAATTGCTACCATGTGTAATGCTTGTCCATATAAACATTCCAGAAGTGGTTGTACGATGCAAACAAATGAAATAGAGACATACTAATAAAGCGTTAAAACAACACTCATTTATCGGTATCTGTCATTTGATTAGACCAAGGCCAATTGTTGATACTCAAAATTTACCCATAAATTAAGTTCTGAATACTTAAACAGCGATCTTTTTCAATACTGCACATATCCTGAAGCAATGTAAGCCTTTATTACCCACGTGGTCAACGTATGGGTAGTTGCATACTAATCTCGTACGTCACACGAGTGTCGTAACGCGTTGACCTGTGTCGTAACGACTTGACCTGAGATTCTAACGATTTGATTAGATAACCGATGACCTCTCAGTTAGGTCACGTTGTGACGGAACTACTTGTTCATTCATAACAAGAACGTGAATTCATTCATTCTACAACTTATATGAATTGTGGGAATTTTAACATTGCGAACGTTGACATATCGCTGTTTAATTGTGAGTCGAACTGAGTCATTATATCCGTCGAAAAACATAAACGCAATGTTTCCACCAGTGATGTTAGCCGAGTGAAGCAGTTGCTAACCAAGAACGGGGTGCTATGGAGTAGTTTACTGTAGGAGGCTGTACGAGAGGCGATGACAACTGACATGCATCGTGACGTCGGTTACCAAGGGGACAGACGGTAATGGCGTAGTGACGTCAATACAGTGTGACGTCATGCAAAAGTGTACTTCAGAACAAAATTCTTCCGCAACCTCTTTATGAAACCGGTTTCGGTTTCAAACCTAAACAATAACAAAAAAATACGCTATTTTGTCAATTCATTGCATGTAAGACGTGGGTAATAAATAAAATACCACACGAGGTCTCATTACATACGAATTATACGAAACTCGTGACCTTCCTATGGTTTCTGACCTCGCTTTCGCTCGGTCAGATACCATAGGAAGGACACTCGTTCGTATAATTCGTATGTAATGAGACCTCGTGTAGTATTCTCTATATATGTAACAATATATTATGGAATTATTCTATATTTCAGATTAACCGGTTTCACCCAAGTGTTTAACATCTGAGACCTGCATCAATTTAAGCCTTTCTGCCACATCAACCTGACAAGCCGTGAGATAATTGTAATGTTGTACAAAGCGGCATTAAAACCAACTGACTCGCTCACCCACTAAAACTACAAACTTCTAATGCCATACTTTGGATGACAATATCTTATCAAAGAACAAATCCAAGTAAAAATTTCGTTGCTCAGTGGTGTCGTGATATAGTTCAGTATTATTTGCACATTTTTCTCCAGTGATTTGTCATGGTTCCTTCGTAAAGTGTGTAATATGCTGCATAACAAACTTCCTTATTGTTCTAGATTTCAATTTATGAACTTTTAAACTTTTAAACTTTTAAAATTATCAGAACAAGACAGGTAGTTTCCATGTAAACACACGTACTTCTTAATTATCTCAATAATTGATTTACCAAAACTGGTTTCCTGAATACAACTTCCTCTTCGGGTAGTTGATACCAGAAAAAGATTCCTATCATTGAAAGAAGTTGAATAGACCTTTAAATAACGATTAATATCAAATAGATACCTAGTTATACACTACCGGAAAGACGTTTATTCAACAATTTGCACGTGCATGGTAATTGTTTGTTGGGCACATTATACTCACACTAGGTTTTAAACGCAATGATTGCAGGTACTCAGAAAATACAAATTAACGTTAAAAGACGCCTATGGGCTTGCTGGGAGACCAACGACTGCGCACGACAGTCTGTGACTGTCTTTAAATTAGTCAAACATGATACTGGATATGCGCCAATTGTTATATATATTGCTTTGGTTTTACTAGTATACGCCCACTGGTTGCGCAATAATTGTCAAGGCAGTTCTGTTCAGAAGTTTCTTCACAACTGACAGCAGAGCCACTGATGTTGTTGAATTGGTTTTGATGCTGAGTCATAAAAAGAACACGATGTATCTGTCATTTTCTTTGCCAATCTTTCACAGAGCAGGTCTCAGTTCTCACTGAGGCAAAACATAGATCTGTGGACATCCCTTTTTAGGCGACGTCGGAACGACTTTTCATCTGTAGGATTGATCCCGTGAAAACTGCTTCCGTCTCAGTAGGACATACAAGAGTAACAGCAAGTGCATATACTTTCTTGTCCTTGTCAGTAATTATCTGTTTTGAATGACGAGGCAGAACAGTCGCTGATCTTTTGCACAATAAGTTTGTTCAAGATACTCAACATAGCTTATTGCAATGTCCTCGTCACTGATCGAATCTTTCACTGTTTTGACAATCAAGCAACTAAGTCGATTCCAAACCTTTTCCCGGATATGGGACGTATCACATCCTCGTCAAACACACAGGAAAAATAACTTACAAACTTACCCAGAAACCGGTATGGCTCCAGTGCGTTTCCGTTACCCAGATTCCTGTATGGCTCCAGTGCGTTTCCGTTACCAGGTTTCCTGTAGGGCTCCAGTGCGTTTCCGTTACCCAGATTCCTGTTATGATTATTCAACTATATTAACTGGGGAAGTTGAAATGAGTTTATTATATATTTGAATGTATTATGTCATATATTTTATTCATAATACATTCAAATATAAAACAAACTCATTTCAACTACAGTTACCTCAACACCACATGGACATAGAAATAAATAAATACAAAATCAGTCAGTCAGTCGATTTCTCTTTATTTATCATAAACATATCATGTCAATGTTTCAATGTTACAATTATACATTGTCACAAATCACAAAATCCCGTCTGTAGATTTCTCCTTATGCAGAGAGGAATGCACACTAAAAAACACACAAACCACTTGCACACTAACATGTTCAAAAACATATTATGGAGGGATGGCATTTTTTAAATATGAAGGTCGTAATTTCTTTTTAATCTTAGACTCAGAAACAACAATTTTGGTTGTTTTTTCCTAAACAGGGTGAATACAGGAAATAATTGAAAGTACATTTAGACATTCCATCCTATCCCTAACTATCATGAATCATATATAATTGTAGATTATCCTGATAGTACGCATCCAGTATACACTGCGTGTTTCATTAAGTATGACACTGCGTCTGCGAACTGAAAATTACACTTATTACCTGGAAGACAAATCATCAGTGGCATTGTAAAATATATTTATGTTATATGTTGTATTTATT